AGAGAATGTGGATGATGAAATATTATATAATCTAGTCGTAACCAAGGGATACAGTAGGGCAAACATCTACAGGTACATTTGCAAGAGTATGGTGCTTCTGTATGGTTCAAAATTAACTAGAACATTTTTAGATTGAAATAAATTTGTACAAAGCATTCAGTTCTATTTAGATATATTGTACATGTATAATATAATATTACAAATGTTCACAGGTTGACAAAACTTTGCTCAGATAATAATTAACACTTGATTGCTTACTTGAATGGGTAATAGGTCAGACTGCTGCGTATCCTCTGAGTTCATTACGTCGGGATGGATCAAGTCAAGAGCCATGGGCGTGAGGTAGTTCAGTCTTTGACGGTCAAAATTCCTACGAAGTCCACGGAAGTCATTAGCTGTGATGTAACAGTCCTTTTTGTAAACAAAACAGATGTTGTAAATTTATTACAATTAATCTTATGGCAGGGAGGAAAAAATAATAAATATTTATTGGGGAATTCATGACATGCTCTTTGTTTACCACAACACTATAGTGAGTAATGTATAGTTTTTTAGAAAGCTGTGATATAGGATGTGCAGCTGGATATGATTTTTCAGGAAGTTAGCTGTATTTGGAAGTTCAGTCAAACTGAAAATTTTGATATTTTCAAACTTGTCTTGCAATATCCGGTAAGCTTTTTTTTCTATTGGCCTTTGATGTGTTTTTTTGAAAACAATATAATAATAGTTTATTTTTTAAATTTGGTAGATTCAATTCGAAATTATTCTAAAAGGAGTTGCTATAAAAGTGCATTTAATGCTGGGCTGCAGCCATTCAATAAATAACTTGAGAATTAAAGTTACTTTTCATAAAATATAAAATAATAATAAATAAATAAATACTTTAAAATACTTTATTTTTGCTTGGAATTAATTTTCGCTTCAGGAATGATTCAGTGAAAATAAAATCCAGCGAATATACCTTTTTTCCTATATTTAACTTTAAACTCGTCAAAAAATCAGTGAAAATAAAAAACCCAAAAAGTCTTTTTAGCAAAAATTAATTCCAGCTAAAATATTTTAAAAGTATTTCACAGTACATATAAAAGATACCTGGTTTTTTAACTCTTTCAAAAACTCCTGTAAATATGGCAGAATAGTATTCCTATATCCTTCAGGTATATTTTTGGTTAGATGATACATGAAGCTACCAAAGTCACCTTTCATGTAAAAATAAAAATAAAATTCATCAGTAAAAATATATTTGTTTGCAAGTTCACTAGTGTTTCATTACTTCATAGCAGTAGTATCATACCAACCTATTTTGTGAAAATATAATTTGACAAAATATGCAAATAAAATAAAAATACTTTGTACCTTGTATTGATTCAACACCATTAGACTTTATCATTTTGGTGAATGTTTTCATAATCAGTGGGTCTCTGAGGGAGGAGAAAAAAATAACAAATATTACATGAATAAATCATGATAGTTCCAAAGTTCAATCGGTATCAAAAGCACAACAATGAAAACTTGTAAGTCGGCTTATAATAGGCTAATTATCTAATTAATATGCATAAACCATTAACACATTATATGCCAAAAACATTTTATTTCACACTTTCTCAAGTCCATGACAGTACTCTGCACTCAATGTGTTAAAAAGCAGTAGTCCTTGTGCCACGCATGTGTGAGACTTGTGTTGAATTTCCCACAACCCAATATGCACTCCTAGTGGCAAGCATAAATACAAGTTATGTTTTGGCCACGATGTTAAATAAATTACGTACTTTGACTCTATTTTTGATGCTTTCCAATCATACTTAGTTAAACCAATTATGCATTGACTCGTGCAACAATCAAATTCACCATGTACAGTCCAACATCCACCGCCCTTTAAATCAATGTTGCCATTTAGCATATAAATAATGTGCACTCATCAATACTATAAAATCTAAAGCATGTTTAATGTACCTGTATATTGCTTGTATTAGATCACTTCTGAATAATGAGAGATAAACCAAGTCAGGTCCAAACTGTTTCACTAATGAGGAAAGAAATATAGAAAAAGATAATTATTGTGGTAGTGTTTTTATCATCTACCAGCTGACATAAAAAGCCTTGGTCTATAAAACACAACTTGTTCCTTAACACATCGCTTGCTAAAAGCCTTTACAAATAGCTAAAATGAATGGAGACAGCAGCATCAGTAGGGGGATGGGTTAGAGTTGTATTTCTACTTTGTATTTTATGCAGAAATATGACATTTGATAAAATTAATGGTTTTGGCAACAAATCCTGGATTATTGTAACATTGAAAGCTAGTTTGCACTGAAAGTGAATTGTTGTAATCATTCAAGGCCTTCTCATTTTGATTCCAGGATTTGTTTGGGATACAATTTCTGTACAAAGCCCTTATGATGCATACAGGAGTTATTGAGAGGTTTTCTGCAGATCATATAAAGTAGAAATGCAATTATAACAAGCTTTTAGAATATAAGTGAGTAAATTAACAGTTGTACTTACCCAGTTTTGTGATGTTTTCGGCCCTTCCATTCCCTATCTCCCACCTGATGAGACTGGCTACAAGTGTTTCATCTACGTGTACGCCCATTTTCTGCAGCAAAGAGAATACAGAAAATGATCAGCACACATGATATGACAGTGGTGTAGTTAAGTAGTTCTGAAGAGGTCGCTTGTGAAAAAAGTATATATGAACTTTGGTTGGAATGTGTGGACCACATTTTCATAATCAGTTATTATAACAAGAGTTGGCAGAGCCATCTCGATGCTGGGAAAATAAGAGTATTTAAAGGTGTGTTTTGGAGCAATGGATTGGCGAACAGGCAGAAAAGCAATTTCAAAAACTTTGACTTTGTTTTAATGAAAACTTGAAGTATACATGAGGGTACGTATTATTATTTATTTATTTTGGAAACTCAATTTTTAACTGAAGGAATTAAACTAAATTAAATAATCATGTTAGAAATGACTACTGTTCAACTCCGGACGTTTAATTGTACTTAGCGTATGTTACTATGACAATCAACCAATTCAAGAAAAACAGTCGACAATGACTGAATGCATGGTCACAGCCAAATCGCTGTTTAATTGAAATAAAAAA